GGTAGGCCATTGGAGGAGACAATGCGGTGGTGGCGGTAAGCTTTGCTGTATGTCCTCCCTGCAGTCCCTTTGGCCAAGCGCAATGGCCCACCACTACCATCGGCCTTACCTTCTCAGGCCGCATGGGAGGCAGCTGGGCAAGTGAGAAAAGGCTCACCAGGCAGCGTGAAAAGGAGTGAGTGGAAGGGGCGAGGGAAGGGACGGGGCCAGTCAGTAGCACAATTTGCCAGTTCTCCAAACTGTGCATAATCATAACATCTGGTTCTACCGAACCGGTCCGAACCGGTAGAATCCCAACCCTGTCTTTTAAATCCCATGAAACATTTAACATTTTACTGCCTAAAACATTGAAATTAATAATCCCTTTAAAACTACATTGCATATATGTTCTGTCTCCCCTTCCCTTTCCCCCAAAAGGTAAGGGATTATACACACACACACACACAAACACCGACAGGCAAGCTGGCTCGAACTTTGCAGAGCAAATCCTCTGTAACTGATAACATTCTTGGCATCCCACTACGTCCTGCCTGCCAAGTCCGAGCTGGCAGCAATTGTAAATCAAAGTCTTACTCACACAGAGGGAAATGGGTCTTTTACTTCACAAAGCACAAGGCAATCCACAAAACAATCGTTCTTCCAACATAGTCATGAATAAAGTCTAAAGTAAGTTAAACTTTGTCCCGTACAAAGTTTAAGGAGAAAGCACACCCACTTTTATCCCCTGTGGGGTGTGGCTCAGTGACTCAGCTCACTCTCTGACCCTCCCACGCTTCCTACGTAGCTGCTCATGTTTCTCCCTACGACGCTGCTTGGGGTCGAGCCAAGACTCCTCCTCTTCACTCCCTGTCAGGGGCTGCTCCGACATGCCTTCCTCCTGATTCAATCTCAGGCTGTTCCTCTTGGTTGTCTGATGGAACCTGAGGCATTACCAGGGAGGAAGGCATTGGCAGGTAGGAAGGTCCTGGGGAGGAAGGCATTGCCAGTTCCTCCCCCTCATCTTCCAGGTCCTCTTCGTCTGACAGCATAGGCTCGGGAGTTGGGGCCACAACACATATATAAATCAGATTCTGCATGGTTTTTCTCCTTTTTAATTTCATAAGATTTGTTTACAATTTCAAAAAAGAAGACATATTAATCTACTCATTTAATCCTGAACCCTGGTGTTAATTCCATTTCAGCTCTCCTCCTATATCATTTCATTTATTTCAGTATATTTAATACACAAATTCCATTAATTATTCCATTCATCTTTTATATATTTAAACAAAAAAGCCTGCAATCCACTCCTAAAAAAATCTACTCCTTTACAACCCTTCTTATATTTCATTTCAATTATTTCAATATATTTAATAAATATATTCGATTAGTTATTGCAGTTATCTCCATACATAAAAGAGCTTAAATTCCATTACCAAAAGTAACAGTTCTATTTTCCATCTTACCAGTCTATATGTCCTTTTTTCATAACTTTAAATTTGTTTGTTACCCCCCAACACCTTGCAGAATCCCCTTTCTGAATATTAATCAACCATTATCTGTGTCTAATTAAGCAATTTCCCCACTTTTTTACAACTTCCATATTTCGTTTCCAAGTCCTGTTTCTTATCCCTTTTTTCCTCTTCTATTTTCCCCTTTATTCTTTCACTCCAGTTTTTGTCCCCCTCTCTATTTGTAGCTTCCTTCCACCCTTCGAATTTCTGCCGATTCTTTTTACCTTTTTTTCATTTTCAGAATATTCCCCTCTTTATTTAATTTCTTACATCTCCTATATTTATTTCCCAATCCTTTCCTCTTTCTTTCCAGAATTCTTTGTTCTTGATGAAAATTAAAAATGGCCTCTTCTGACTTTTGTCTTAGTTGTTCATGTTCTGCAATTGCATTTTCCATAAATTTTAAAGCAAAGCCCAACGATTCACCACACTCTTGTAATGTTTCTTTTATATTTCTAAGTTCCATTTTTAATTCCAGAAGAGATATTGCCATTTTAAACCTTTTCTATTTTACAATTTAATCCAAACAGTGTCTGTGAAATTGATTTCCAACAATCAGCTTTTATTTTATTCCTCTCAAGTTTTGGTCCTCAGCTAATCCAATGGTAAATCCATACCAGAATCAACAGTTAATCCAAGGGCAGAATCTTGTTTCTTTCTTTGTTACAATGTTTCAGTTTTTCAAAGTTCTTGTTTTATTGTATCAATTTTCCTTACAGTTTTTAAGGAAGTCTTTTAGGAAAAAAAACCAAGTTAAATTTAACCAGTTAGATGGCACTCTTTGTTATAACAGATCTTCACCCCCTCTTTTTTCCAGCTATTCAGAGCTTTTTAAACCACAGTCTTCCAAGAATAAATATCAAATCCAATTAGTATTAAATTTTCTCTTTAACAATCTATAGTTCAGTTTTACTAGTGCCTATATAGAATCAAAATATACTTATCCAAATTAGTTAGATGATTTCTTTTTCCAGCTTCTACCTTTCTTGGTTCAAAGCCCCACTGCTGTCAAAAGCAATTCACACCTTTTTTTCCTCCTTTCTCTTCGCCGGTTTAAATCCTTTCTTAAAGATTCTTGAAAAAGTTAATCCTGGAGGTATTTTCCATTTAACTATATCATCCCATTCCTCCTGCTGTTTGCTTCTTTCTCTCTCCAGCACAATCTTATTCCGTCTTAATCTATCCCTTCAGGGTGGCCATTTTAGACCACCGCTTCAGACGTCTTCCACCGCTTCAGACGTCTTCCAGTTGCCAAGCCAGGGAGGGGATTTGCAACTCCCCTGTACCCGGCTGACAGTCTCTTCCTGACCGATCGGGGCTCTCTGACGCCAAAGCATGGACCAAAGCTGCGGACAATCGCGGTCAGCAGTCTGTCTTCGGGGAAATTCAAAACCGGAAACCCCTTTCAACTGATTTTTATTGGATTATGGTCAGCCCATAAATTTGTTTAATTTCTATCTCTTGCACATTTGTGCTTAATTCCACTGACATCCAAATCATATCTATTCTTGACCACAATTTATCTCTGTTAAGAGTAGAATGTGTATTGGCTTTCCCGAGTTTATTTCTCTCCACATATCCTGTATACAAGGTTCTTCTGTCATTTTGAAAAAAAGAGTTCTAGGTAAAGTCTTATTTTTTTTCTTATCTTACTACTTTTATAATCCAATTTTGTATCAACTATTGCATTAAAGTCTCCTAACAGACAAATATTTTCATATTCTTTTTCAAGTATCTTCTTGTGGACTTTTTTTATAGAATTCTTCCTGTCCATTATTTGGGGCATAGATAGCAACTAAAAGTATGTTTTTGTTTTAATGTCACTTCCACTATCAAAATTCTCCCTTATCTTTAAAAATTTGATTGGCACTTATTCCTTAATATATAACACCACCCCTCTTCTCTTTTGTTGCGATAGTGAAGAGAATAATTTCCCTAATTTAGGATACTGCAATAATTTATTATGGTGTTTTTTAATATGTACTTCTTGTAGTGATACTATATCTAATTTTAGTCTTTGTAGTTTTGTGAATATTTTTTTCACTTTTCATGGGGGAATTCAGTCAATTTATATTAATTGACAGCATCCTTATTTCTTGCATTGCTTCACTTATAGAATGGACACATGCTCCTGGTTGCTCTTATTTCTCTGTTCCTTTGCTCTTGCTCCTTCTCTCTGCTCCTTTTTTCTCAGCTTCGCATTCATCTTGTTGTGTACATTTCCCTTCTGTAGTTGACACTTCTTGACCTTTATGTTCTATTGCTTCCCTCGTTTCCTGTCCCTCTTCCATATTAAAATGGTGATCATAAAATTCCATTGATTTGTCCAATGAATCCAGTCTGTATCTTTTTTCATGCCAAGTAACTAATATTCCCTCAGGTATCAGCCATCTGAAGTTTATATTATATTTGATCAACATTGTAGTCAAAATTGGTATTGTTTCTGTAAGTCTTACTCTCCTAGGGATCTGTTTCAAAACCACCAATTGTTTTCCCTTATGTTGTTCATCTCTTGCCTTGTTGAGTATTTGCTCTCTTATTGATTTTTTCACAAATCTCATGTGTACTTCTCTTGGAAGTTTGTCTCTCCTCACTTAGTTCATATGTATTCTAAAAATTTCATCCATCTCTGCCTCCATCTCCTACTTATCAACCCCTAACGCCTTTGCCAACATCTCTTTCATTGTCTGGTAGCTCTTCCCCTTTCTATATTTTGAAATCTTAAATAGTAGGCTGCTTTTTCTGTTTCTAGCATTATTACTGTATTTTCTGGCTCTGTTTGCTTGGGTCAGTCTATAGTTTATTTCATCAACTTTTTTCTCTGCGATTTTTCAAAGTGTGTGTATGTGAGAGAAAGAGAGAGACACACAGAGAGAGACTTAGACTGAACATTGGCTTACCTGAATGTTCGTTTTATTCTGTGGCGTAGAGAGTCCAGATAGATAGGGTTAAATCAG